AACTACTTTAAAAACATGTTATATGTTTAGTATAGTGTTTTAACTGGTCCTTTGGAGCCATAAATAATTATTTTTAAAACCTTTTTTTTTCATGCTACTGTCATAAGCCAAATTTACCCATTTCAGTTATTCCTAAATACATAACGTTCCTTATCTAGCATAAATTCCTGTTCATTTGACCTCCTTTAAACTATTAAAAATAAAGGTTATATTTACATTAACATTAATTCTTTCTTCTGGGTATTTTCAGGATCACTACCTTTTACAAGTTCAGTGTATTAAAGCACAGAGAAGTAATTTGCATAATAACCTGAGTTAAGTCTCTTTAAATTTACACTTTGTACTATAATATGACATCTTTCCTCATAAGACAAACTATGGAGGCTGGTCTCTTAGCTCTGTCACTTCAACAAAATGGGTTTTACTTAAATATGGCTTTCAAGCATGTTATGAACTTAATTTAGTTTGGTAGGATTTTGAAAATTTTAATATATCCTGTTAAATTTTCTTCTTTATATCAGATACAGGACAGAATTAAATTTAACTCTGTTCTAGGTTTAACATTAATTTCTCATTTCTGTCACCTAAGGAGAAAATCAAGTGTTACAGGAAGTTTGGGGAGTATTTCTCTGTGCACCTCCATGCGCCTTTGTTAGCTGCTGGGAGAATGGAAAAGGTGCTTTTACCTCCCAGAACACAGCATCTTCAGGGCTGCAGTTGGAAAGCTAAGCAGTTTCTTGAGTTCAGACTGTAGGAATATTTTGTGTAAAGAATTTCCAAAGAAACTGCCTCATCTTGAACTGAAGTCTTCACTCAGATTCCATCTTCAATAAGTATTAAAAATATTGCCTGGGATTAATCAGCAGGTCAATAGAAAATTAGAGAATTATTGGCTAGACAAATCCAAATGCATGAAAATAATCTCTACTTTAAGAATAGATATACCTTTCTAAAGACAATGCTGTATTTTTTTTAACTTCTATTACAGACTGGTTTTAGTACCCACAAAATTTGTTTGACACTTTCACCATTGCTTTCCACACAGTTCTTCTGGTTTAAGGTACAAGTCTGCTAAAAAAAAGGAATCTTAAAATCAACTGCCTTTGCACTTGTTTATTTTTTCTGTTGTTCAAGTCTGCAAGTGAAAGAGGGATACAGGCTTTGTATTTCATGCTCCTAGCACTAGCACAGTAGTCCAGAGTCTTTCTGTAACTGTAGTCATAAGAAAGTGTTGCAGAGGTACAATGGGGAGCTGAAATTGGCCTGCACTGTGCTCTTTCCTCTCAAGATATTGTTAGTGTTGTTGTGCAACACTGGTCTTACTTTCCAAACACTCACTCATTATTCTTGAAATGTCAACATTTTACCTATTAAAAGACGTAATTTAGATGAGATTTTTTTATCTCCAGCTTCTTCACACCTGTGACACATCCTGACTTTGAATTAATTCAGTCACAGTAGACTTTGGAAGGGAAGCTGAAGGCAGGATTTTCTTTCTCTGCTTAAGTACCAAAGGAGAAAGGGCCTCTCAAGCTAGAGCTTTCACTGCTCAGAAACAGTCTCAAAAAGTGTTCCCTCCTCACCTTCCAAAGGGTTCAGATGCACTAAAGCTCTGCAAAAGCTGTGCTGTCTGGAAACAAAGCCAGTTTTTCCTTCTCAGGTGTGTTATTGTGACGTGTTGGGCTTTGGAACAATGAAGCAGTTAATGTCCACAGGGATGGGACGAAACAGAGAATATAGGTGTTGCTAATTGGCATTAAATGGTATTAAAACTATACCTGTGAGATGAGAAGGGTATTAATGGAACATGTTTTTTCATTGCTCTCACTTAATATGCATAAAACATTATCCCCCAGCTTATGCATCCATAGATGTGGGAAATGTACAGCAAATGTCACTTGTGAAATGTAATTGGTGCTTGTTCTGCATACACAAATGAGGAATATCCATTACATATGAGTCTCATAAGTGTTATTAAAGTTTTATTGTTAATGTTAAATTAAAAAAAAAAAGTAATAGTTACTCACTGGTAGAATGTATCCAGGGAATAGTATTTTGTCTACTGGCTATTACTTAAGCTAGTATATTATACATACATTTTGGAAGAAATAATGTATAAAGCAAGTAAAATAGTCAGTAGTAGGAATATTACACAATTTTGCCTGACAATAACATTTTTAAAGAAAAATAGGCATGAACTAGGACCATTTTCACACTGAAGGCTATTTCAGTTCCTCAGTGTTTAACATCAGACTGACCTTTCTGCTGTCTTCATTTTTCCTGTGCAAAACCTGAACTCACCTCATGTCTCTGTCTCTTGTCATGCCTATATGCTGACCTGGGGAAACCCCAGGAATTATCTTAAAAGACAAGCAAACTATGAAACAAATATACTGTAGGTGAAAGTCATACAGCAACTTACTGTTAAGTTTGCCCATTTCTTGTATATTCTTTTTTTTTTTTTTTCTATTGGTTTTAAATTAGGCAGCCTTAAACTTGTGAGGTTGAAATCTTTCATGTCACTCATTCACTTCGGAATAAGAGTCTTGAAAATTGGATGAGTTGTTTTTCAGCACAAGAGTAGGAAAAAATACATCAGTACTCAGGTCAAAAGAAATAAAATAAAGTGAATAGAGAGACTGCAGAAGCAGGAAAAAAGACTCAATAGCAAAGAAAGTTGTGTATTTGTGGTCAGGAAGTGAGTGTTGAGGAGAGAACAGCCAAGAGCAAAACTGCATTAGAACTTGCCAAAAACAAATATCAAAGACTCTTTACCCTTCTAAATAAAAGTAGAAAAAGGGACAAGAGGAGATGATAGTGAGCAATGTCTATTCTCTCATTCTGGATTTTTATTCCCATTTTTCTTTCTGTTTTAATATTTAGCTGCATTAATGTGAAACGTTGCCATTGCAAATGCAGAGCCTACTATGTGCATCACTCCCCTTCTACTGGGGAGCCCTTGCTCTCTGTGATAAATATTTCACTCAGAGCGAACCAGCCCCCAAGGTCAGCTCTATCCAGCCCACACCCTTTCCCACTGTGGATGTAGAAAGGGCTTGCCAGCAGCAAGAGACACACTAAAGGCCCTGTACCAGTGAGAGGCCCAGTATTTATCTTCCTGAATGGCAGATGAGGTCTCTCATCTACCTGGATCTACCTCTCAACATTAAAATGGCTGCTATGTGCTGTGGATCACCACTGGCTTTTTCCATCTTGTATGAGTTCTTCTGCTTTGAGTGAGCAAGAAAGCAATTGGCAAGGCAGCGTCCAATGCCATAGAAATAGTGGAATTGAAGGTATGATTAGTGACAAAAGGCAAACAAGTGACAACTACAGTAGTCCAGTTCCTAGTGTTAGTTAACGGTTGTGAGCAAAGTCAAAAGAAGGTCAACAAGGACTCCTAAATAAAGTAATGTGCTCCTGAAGCCCCAAGGATTTGGTCTTGACTATGGCTGGAAATCAAAGTGTTCAGTCTTCTTGTAGATTAATGAAAATTGTATTTTTATTCTTGTAGTGATAGGTTCCTCAGTGTATTATTTCTCTCATTAGAACAGTATATGTTAGCTGACAATCCTCTCAGGTGGACAGAAAAGAATGAAAGGAGGAACAGTAACAAAAATACCTCGCTGTGGTGTCTGTTCATTGTATAATGCAGCTAAAAAGGTGTCACATTGACATCCTTTTTTGTCTCAGGGAATAATAACTAATAATTAAATGACACAAAGATGCCAATGAAAGAATATGAACTGACTGAATTATTCCTTAATCTTAGAACAGTCTGCCATCTTTTACTATTTTAAATTGATACTCTTGCTTTTTTATCTCACTCCTTTTGAACAGCATTAGTGTGAATGTTCATGTTTATTTATATAGTACACTTCTTTCAAAAGAGATTTTGTATACAATATAATCATTCCTTACACATACGTACTAATAAAACCAAAACAGTATAAACCTGTAGTATAACTGGAGTATAACAAACTGCACTATAACAAATTAACAGCCACTACAGATTGCATTCACAGAAACTTAGCCAAACCTTTAATAGATCAGTAAGAGACATGGAAATGCAGGACTGGCCTAAGCCACAAACAGTCGAAGTAATAGAGACCATCTCTTAAGTGTGGCTTTTCTGGCTCCCCAAGTCTTCAATTGGTGCAGATGGGTTGCACCATGGAAATAGCCTAGTTTTTTCTTTTTCCCCAGGAAAATAAGTAAAAAACTTAGCTGTCTGTCCCAGACATGGACCCAGAGATGCAAATCTGAGAAATCTGTCGTTCATGATAGAACTGGCAAAGGCTGCAGCTGGTGTGAGGACCACAGGATCCTGCAGATACTCTCCCTCAGCACAACAAGAGAAGAACTCACTGTGAACCTAAGCCTCATTGACTGTGCATAGGCATGCCCTTACAAAGAAAAGAAAAGCAAGGTTTTTTCAGTTGCTGGTTTGGGTTGGTTGGAGAATTGCTTGTTTCTATGACCCCAAAAAAACAAACACAATTTAATCTCTTTGCTTTTTCAAGGTTTTTTGTGTAACAAAAATTTTGTGTAATCTTTTTTGTAACAAAAAATTCTGATTTTTGGTATAAAAAACAAAATAGGAAAGTGCCTCTGTGCTCTAAATAGGAAGTTTGAAAACCAAGCTCTTTTTGCAATTTTTGTTCATAATCTCAATCCTTGAGATTATGCTATGTGTGTAACAGCCTGGTCCTGCTTTCCTCAGTACCAAAATAAGGATGATCCAAAATAATGGGAGCCTTAGAAGGCTTGATATAAATATTTCCAAACTGATCTGAGTTTTTTGTATGACTGATTAACTGGCTTTTGGATAATTTTTTTCTAGCTGATGACAAGGTATTCATTACCACAACATTTCTATTTTTCATCATGAGAAAATGGGATGGAATTGACTTTTCCCACCAATTTTAGTTGCTCCAAAGCATGTGATTTTGCAGCAAGCTCCATACTCAATAGATTTCTTTCATATCCCTGTTTTTTAGGTTGTGCTGTGGATGGCCATCCAACCCCGAACGTCACCTGGCTTTACTCTGGCGAGCCTCTCAGTCTGCGGCATCACCTCCTGGCAGCAGGCAGGATTCTTCAGATATTCAATGTCAGTGATGCTCCTGATGGTGAATTTAGCTGCCTTGCTCAGAATGAGGCTGGCTCCCTCACACAAAAAACGTTCCTAGCTATACAAGGTAACTTTCCAGTTTCAGTCCTGCTGCCATTTGAAGCTCTTACTTCAGACTTCCCTGCACTGCCTTTCTCACCCTGGATTTCTCCTCTATGAAGCCAGGACTGTCCTGTGCAGCAGAAAATAGTTGTTCTGAAGTTTTACTGCCATGGATATAGATTTGCAGGACTAGTAGGTACCTTGCAGTGCTTTAGGTTTTACTTCAACAAAATCACACCTGACGTTCATGGTCTGCTGAGCATAAAGCACACCTTACTGATTCAAGCTATGCTTGTTGAGTCTGGAAATATTTTTTTTCCCAGAAATTCAAGACAAAGATGTAATTTGAACCATTAAAACCAGAAGCCTCTTGTTTAATCTGCTAAAGTTGTTTTTCAGTCTTTTCTTGCTTGAAAATTCTTCATTTGTACAAACACTGGAACCGTTCTGTGTACCCTAGAAATAAGCTGAATGTGATAGAGCCACAGAACAGAGCCATGTGGATAGGCTGGAAGAGAATGTGCAGCTTTGACTGCTCCAATTTTCAGGGTGGGAGTGGAGAAGAATTTAACTTTTCCTTAAATTTTGCCATAACATTTTAAGTGTGTTGCAACTCCCCTAATCATTTTCAGGATGAACGATCTGCATGATGTACCCAATGTGAAACACATTATTGTAAGATCATAGTATCAAAGACACTACTGGTAACTGCAGTTAACAAGATCCTCACTAAATCATACCCCGTTACGTCCTGCATCACTGGCACCTGGCTTCACTTAAGTGCTCTACTATGGCATTCACTTTCCACATCTGTCACTTCTAAGCACCAAAAAATTTGGTTTGTTACACCAAAGACAGCCAGTGGCTTACATAAGCTGGAATCCTGTTCTTTCTTTGTTCAATGTCTGGTGCCTTGTAATCACAGGTAGCTGCTCTTCACATGAGACACAAAGTCCAAATAGGTCATCCTTGAGAACACCTCTGACTCCTTCTTTCCTAAGGGCCTCCTGCTGGCATTTTTTGAGTGTTAACATGCCTTTTCCACACTTTTTGGCAGAATACCAATGGTCAGTGGACAAGCTGATGGCTTGTTCAGCTTCTTGTGGCCACAAAGGGGTGCAACTGCCCCAGCTGAGGTGCTTACTGGATGGGGCTGAAGTCAACATATCCCACTGCAAAGAGAAGCCCAAGCCAACCCTGCAGCCCATCGCATGCAACAGGAGAGACTGCCCTTCACGGTTCGTCTGTCTCATGTCAAAATGTCATTTTTTATTTTAAGAGGTGCTTTAATAGTTTCTTGCACTTAACATCATATCATTGCAACCTTCTAGTGCCTGTCTGGAGAAAAGTAACAGCTAAAATGGAATTTATTAGTGCTGAACCTAGACAGATGGGAATTTGTAGAAAACATTGACAATACTTGGTAGAAAGAGAGTTTACTCCTTCAGTAATTAGGTTAGAAAATAATAGAAAGGCTATTGTCTAGTCTTTATTAGAAAAGTTTACAGCTTGAGTTGTCTTGGGTGATTCCAGCCTCACCCTGTGTTGGATATAAACATGATACTTGTTCTGAGCTCTACATGTGGGAGTTTCATCATCCAAAAACTACAGGGTTACATCTTTTTTGTTCCACATGACTTCCAACTGATTTATCCTCAACAACATAACAGACAAGAAGGTAGGTTTAGCAGGTGTTTGGGGGTTTTATTCTGAGCTTCTGTGTTGCCTGAGCATCCATACAGGCAGAACTGCAGCTAAAAACAATTCCCTTAGCAGAGCAAAAATGTCTTTTGTAAAATAAGCAGATCCCATCAGATCTAGCGGGCACAAAGGGGGGCCAGACTGAGTTCTACCTTGTTTTGGAGATGGCTAGCTTGTGGTTTCCTTGGAATTGTAACTTTGCCTGTGTAATTCCCTATTTTTCAGTCACTGTTGAACACAATTGAGCCAGAACAGTTTTGAAAGACTTCTGCCTCCACTTACGTCTTCCTTGGCTGCTTCCAGCCCACATGAAACCCCTGCCTTCTTTGACATCCTTTGGTGTCAGAACCTTTGGTTCTGATTGCCTATCCACAGAGTCAGTGCAGCGTTATACTCCTTACATGTTAAAAATGTCGTCCTTTTACAATTCAGTGGTTTCTTAGCTGAGATGAGTAAACATGCTTTTCCATGTTTTTCTGGGGTTTTACTCCTTGCTCTCGCTTGCTTCCTCTGTGGATATGATGTTTCAGTATGCAAGCACTTAAAAATAGTCAGGATCTCAAGAGAAGTTTAGTACAACTTCTCCCATTAAAAAGTTATCTGGGACTTGTGTTAAAAAAAGAGAGTCTAAACTGAGACGCATAAAGGTGCTAAGCAAACTGATGAGAATAAAGTAGCCAGATTTGCCAAATTTGCCACTCTTGTTGACCCAAGGGCAAATGTCAAGGTTATGTTTAATTAGCTTTTAAAATATATTCCTACTCCTCTTTGTAGGCAAATATTTTCTGAGTTGCCAGCTGAGTCCTAAGAAGGAAACTGAGATTTGAGGAAATACGAAACAGTTATTAACAACATTTTGCCTTGGTGATAGCAGTAAATATTGTGGGAATGGTTTATGGTTTTTTATACCTTCCCTGAACTGTAACACAATCCACAATCCTTCCTCAACTCCTGAAAAATGTAAACTAGGCTAAAAGTTGATTGAAATACAGAGCAGAGCATTACAAGTGGTGCATAAACTTCAGATTCAACATCATCAAACTGCATGAAAAAGAGTAACAGCTGTTTTGTTCTCCATGTTGGGAAAGTGTTTGTTTATATACTTGTTTCTGTGTCCGTGGGACTTAATCACCCATCAAAGACTAAAGAATAGCAATGGATGCATCTCCATGGGACTGGAGATCTCTTACCTATTTTGTAAAGTGATCATAAACACTGCTGGTGAAGGACACGATAGGCACTATTTTCCTCCCAATAACACACAAACCCTGCTGAGTATCCTAAGACTTAATGAAAAAAACTGTTCACTTTGACCATAAAACTTTTCAGGAAACAAGTAATAAGTCTCATCCTTCCTGCTCTGACCATCCTCCCTCCCAAACCTGACTGTAGGAATATATCATTTAAAGATCCTTAAAGAGACAAAGTGTATTATCCTTCTTGGTAAGCATTTGCACCTGGACTATTTTTTTCTGTCTTTTACAGGCTTTTTACTAGTTAGAATTAATTTTTAAGTCCCAGCTTATAGGGATTCAACAGACTCAGCCTCAGCTGTTGAATGCATGGTCTAAGCTCAAGAGATAAAAAGAAAGGTGGTTTTTGTCCCTGGGAAGACTATCCACCAGCCCCATCCCTGAGAAATCTTTAGGCTCTTTTGGATTATCCCAGCTGTCAGGGCCGTAACAGAACAGGCCAGCACCAGTAGGATACAGCAAGACTTCTGGCTACTCTGCCAGTGTGAAGTTCAAAGTGGCCTGTGAGCTACTCCAACATATTTACAGAGATAATTTTCCCTGCAAAGAGGTGTAAATGGGCTAGTGTGACTAGCCTGTGACTGTAGCCTGTGACTAAGTCCTCCATGGCAGAGTGATATAAGCCCAGATATGTGCAACAGCTGTGCCTGGGCTAGAAATATTTACTAAGCCTTTAAAAATGGACTTGAGGTCTATAGAAATAAATTCTGGTCCTGAAGAGCCTTTAGAAAGATAATTCAGTGAAAAAATGTTCTTTTTTTTCTCAGCTTTCATCCTCTGGGCAGATTTCCAGACTGCCGGGGAAACTGCGGAGAGAATGGCTAGAGAGCAATCCAAAGGAGAAGGACGTGGGGGTGGTAGTAGATGAGAAGCTCAACATGAGCCACCAGTGTGTGCTGGAGCCCAGAGAGCCAACTGCATCCTGGGCTGCATCAGAAGTGTGACCAGCAGGGCCAGGGAGGTGATTCTGTACCTCTTCTCTGCTCTGGTGAGACCCTATATGGAGTAACGTGTGCAGCTCTGGGGCCCTCAGCACAGAAAATACATGGAGCTGTTGGAGAGGGTCCAGTGAAGGGCCATGAAGATGATCAAAGGACTGAAAGCACCTCTGCTACCAAGACAGACTGAGGGAGTTGGGGCTGTTCAGCCTGGAGAAGAGAAGACTCTGGGGAGAGCCTTCCAGTACTTGAAGGGAGCCCTACAGGAAAGCTGGGGAGAGGCTTTTCATCAGAGAAGACAGTGATAGGGCAAGGGGTAATAATTTAAAACTGAAAGAAGACAGATTTAAGCTAGACACTGGGAAGAAATTATTCAGCATGAGGGCGCTAAGGTACTGGAATAGGTTGCCTAGGGAGGTTGTGAAAGCTCCCTCCCTGGTGGTGTTTAAGGCCAGGTTGGATGAGACTTTTTGCAGCCTGGTCTAGTGGGAGGTGTCCCTGCTCATAGCAGGCAGGTTAGTACCTGGTGATTTTTAAGGTCCCTTCCAACCTTAACCCTTCTATAATTCTATGATTCTAGGGAAAGTTGAGGCACTCGGCACCTTCCAGTATCATATCCTGGATGAACCAAACCATTGTTGCCTTTCTTTGGTCCATGACATAAAGACCTGTTGACACCAGTGATCCTGCAGACGGTGACACATATCTGCTCCCTGACCTGTTTGCCTTTGTCTCACAGGTGGATGGTAACATCATGGTCTCCTTGCACACAGAGCTGTGGTGGAGGCATCCAGATGCGGCGAGTGACATGTCAGCGCCTGACAGCAAAAGGCAACTCCATCCCAATGTCAAACGAAGCTTGTGCCCAGGTGTCCAAGCGCCCTGTGGACACACAGGCCTGTAACAGGCAGCCCTGTGTTGAGTGGGTGGCCTCCTCCTGGGGCCAGGTAAGGAACAAGCCAGCAGTTTAAGAACTGCCTCAAGTGCGGGCTAGAAAAAAGTGACAGAAATTAGAGGAGGGATTTTTCACCCTATTATCTTTAGATTGTGGTCTGCAGGCTTTTGAAGAGGCAACTACTGTGCTCAGCTCTTTTAACTCCATATCTGATGCACTGAATGGGTTTATTTCTATAGCATCCTTAGAATGTTGTTTCCTGGCAGGACTTCTACTATAGATCCTTGTATTGTCCCCAGTGGAAAGGTCTGCAGGTCCACTTTATAGAAATGAGTAACACATCTGGGAAATAGCCTTCTCCAAGTCTTAATTCCTCTTGCCAAGCAGTAAATATATGTCAGTTTTGACTAGCAGGAGGAGTCAGGACTGAGGATTCTGAAAGGCTTGAGGCAGAGGATAACTGTTTAACAACAGAGAACATAAAAAAGTGGGAGTGTTCTTCTATTTGCTTCACAACAAAAAGCAGAATGGAGGGCTAAAAGCATTTTCAAAGTACTTCATGCTGTTTTGCAGATCTTCAAATTCTCTCTTTGCAGCTTCACCCCATCAATACCAAATGTTCCAAGTATTTAGAGTTTAATTGCTTTGTTGTGGGAATCCACAGAAGAGTTTTCTTTGTCTGTGAGCTAAGAGATGTCCTGGAAAGACACTTGTCATTGTGTAGTTAGTTTTAATCTGAGACCAGTCATTACTTCTTGTTTTCCTCCCTTTTCTCTCCACTCCAGACTGAATGAGCCATATGTAAAGGCTGATGAGAACACTACAGCCCAAACATAAGGGTAGAAACTCAGAGATTTTAGCCCAAAGATCCCCCAGGCTGTCATACACGTGAAGGTATAACATGCCAGGGTGACTGACAGGTTTAAAACTACATAAACCAATTTTGCTAGAATTAACTGGTACATCACTTTTGGTGAAATAAGTAAGTTCAATGGAAAAAAGAAAGGCATTATGACCAACTAAACCAGTCATAAGTCTACCTGAAATTATTAGTAAGGTAAAGGTGTAGAACAGAGGCTTCTTACCATGCAAGAAGAGACTAAGAAAATAATTACCAGTTATAGCTATCAGTCTTGACATATAGTGAGCTACCATTAAATATTTTGCCTCCTTTTCTAGCTAGCAGTTTGGAAACAACGCCAAATCCTATCTCATCATATTAAAGGTTAGAGTAATAGGATAGTTTGTTATTAATAACAACATGCATTCTGTACTTTCTTGGGGTTATATGCACAGTACATTGCACTGCATCAGGTCTTTTTACAATATTGGTAGTTAAAGCTGTCTTCAGCTAATAGAACTTGTTATTGTTCACTACTGGAAAACAACTTCATTTAGCTCTTGCCTGTGTATTTTGGAAATTTCTCTCATAAAAGTAATTGAGTGATTGTATTACATTTATGAGTAAAGCTTGGAATTATCTTTTTATATAGAACCATTAAGGCTGGAAAAAACCTTCAAGATTGTTGAGTCCAACCATAATCCAACTACCACAACCACTAAACTATATCCTGAAGTGCCACATCTAAACACTCCTTGAACCCCTCCAGGGATGGTGACTCTACCACTTCCTTGGGCAGCCCATTGCAATGCCTTGCCATGCTTTTAGTAAAGAAATTTTTCCTAATATCCATCCTAAACCTCCCCTGACACAACTTAAATCTATTTCCTCTCATCCTATCGTGACTTACTTGGGAGAAGAGACCAACACTGGCCTCTCTACAACCTCCCTTCAGGTAGCTGTAGAGAGCAGTAAGATCTCCCCTGGGCCTTCTCTTCTTCAGACTAAACAACCCCATTTGCCTCAGCTGCTCCTCATACAACATGCCCTCCAAATCCCTCACCAGCCTCATTGCTCTTCTCTGGACATGCTCCAGGACCTCAATGTCTTTTTTATACTGTGGTGCCCAGAACTGAACACAGTGCTCAAGCCATGGTCTCACCAGAGCCAAGTACAGGGGCATGATCACTACCCTACTCCTGCTGGACACACTGCTTCTGATAGAGGCCAGGATGTCATTGGCCTTCTTGGCCATCTGGGCACACTGCTGGCTTATGTTCAGCCAGCTGTACACCAGTACTCCCAGAGCCTTTTCCACCAGGCTGCTTTCCAGCCACTCTTCCCCAAGCCTGTAGCATTGCTTGGGATTATTGTGACCAAAGTGCAGGACCCAGCCCTTTGTCTTGTTAAACCTCATCCTGTTGACCTCAGCCCATCAATCTAACCTGCCCAGATCTCTCTTCAGTGCCTTCCTGCCCTCGAGCAGATCAACACACCTGCTCAATTTAGTGTCATCTGCAAACTTGCTAAGGGTGCACTTGATCCCCTTATCTAAATCATTGATAAAAACATTAAACAGAACTAGCCCCAGTACCAAGCCCTGGGGAACACTGCTTGTGACTGGCCTGCAGCTGGATTTAACTCAGTTTATCAAAACACTTTGGGCCCGGCCACCCAGCCAGTTTTTAATCCACCAAAAAGTCCACCTGTCAATTCCATGGCCAGCAAGTTTCTCAAGGAGAATGCTGTCAAAGACCATGCTAAATTCCAGGTAGACAATGTCCACAGCTTTTCCCTCATCCACTAGGTGAGTGACCTGGTTGTAAAACGAGATCAGGTTGGTCAAGCAGGATTTGTCCTGGCTGAGCCTGATCTCACTATTATCCTGCACTTGCCATGTGAGAACACCCAAAATGAACTGTTCCATAATCTTCTCTGCTACCAAAGTCAGGCTGACAGGGCTGTAGTTCCCCAGATCCTCCTTTCAGCCCTCTCTGTAGATGGGTGTCACATTGACAAGCCTCCAATCGTCTGGCACCTCCCCTGTTAACCAGGACTGCTGATAGATGATGGAGAGCAGCTTGGCAAGCTCCTCTGCCAGCTCCCTCAGCACTCTTGAGTGAATCCCATCCAGCCATGTAGACTTGATAGTTTCCAGATAGCATAACAGGTAATTAACTGCTTCCTTCTGAATTACTGGGAGTTGCTGTTGTACTCCATCCCTATCAGGAGGTTCAATACCCAGAGGATAATGGGTCTGACTATTAAAGAGTAAGGCAAAGAAGGTATTAAGTACCTCAGCCTTCTCCTCATCCTTGATAGCAGTGTTTTCCCCTGCCTCCAATAAAGGGTGGACATTCCCCTTTGTCCTGGTTTGAGCCAGGATGAAGCCAATTTTTCTTTTTACTGATTTTTTTTTTCCTTCAGTAGGCTTTCTTGTAGCTAGCAACAGTGTGTTCTGCTAGACTGATAAGACAGTGGAATGTTTTTCTAACTACTGAGGCTTCAAGGCTGCACCTGCACTCTGCCGGCTCAGACACTATGGGGAGATCTGTGACCCCCCCGTAGGAGGCTGAGTTAGA